GCCCTTCCCTCTCTGCTCACCTTCCTCTGCTCCCCCTTCCCTCTCTCCCCCTTCTCTCTCTCCCAGCCCTTCTCTCTCTCCCCCCTTCTTCTCTCTCCCCCCTTCTCTCTCTCCCCCGCTTCTCTCTCTCCCCCCTTCTCTCTCTCCCTCTCCCCCCTTCTCTCCTCTCCCCCTTCCTCTCTCTGCCCCGCTTTCTGCTCTCTCCCCTTCTCTCTGCTCCCCTTCTCTTCTCTCCCCGCTTCTCTCTCTCCCCCTTCTTCTCCTCTCCCTTCTCTCTCCTCCCCTTCTCTCTCTCTCCCCCTTACTCTCTGCTCCCTTCTCTCTCCCCTTCTCTCTCTCCCCCTTCTCTCTCTCCCCCTTCTCTCTCTCCCCCTTCTCTCTCTCGCCATTCTCTGCTCTCCCCCTTCTCTCTCTCCACCTTCTTCTCACCCCTTCTTCTCTCTCCCCTTCTCTCTCTCCCCTTCTCTCTCTCCCCTTCTGCTCTCCTCCCCCTTCTCTCTCTCCCACTTCTCTCTCCCCCTTCTCTCTCTCGCCACCTCTCTCTCTCCCCCTTCTCTCTCTCACCCCTTCCTCTCTCTCCCCCTTCTCTCTCGTCCGCGCCTTTCTCTCTCTCCCCGCTTCTCTCTCTCCCCCTTCTCTCTCTCCCTTCTCTTCCCCCTTCTCTCTCTCCCCTTCTCTCTCCCCCTTCTCTCTCCCGCCTTCTCTCTTCCCCTTCTCTGTCTCCTTCTCTGGCCTCCCCCTTCTCTGGCTCCCTTTCTCTGTCTCCCCCTTCTCTGGCTCCCCCTTCTCGGCTCCCCTTCTCTGGTCCCCCTCTCTGTCTCCCCCTTCTCTGTTCCGCCCTTCTCTGTCCTGCCCCCTTCTCTGTCTCGCCCCTTCTCTGTCTCCCCCTTCTTGTGTCTCACCCTTCTCTGTCTCCCCTTCTCTGTCTCCCCCTTCTCTGTCTCCCCCTTTCCTCTCTCTCGCCCCTTCTCTCTCTCCGCCTTCTCTCTCTCCCTTTCTCTCTGTCCCCTTCTCTCTGTCCGCCCTTCTCTCTGTCCCCCTTCTCTGTCTCCCTTCTCTGTCTCCCCCTTCTCTGTCTCCCCTTCTCTGTCTCCGCTTCTCTGTCTGCCCCTTCTCTGTCTCCCCCTTCTCTGGTCTCCCCTTCTCTTGTCTCCCGCCTTCTCTGTCTCCCGCCTTCTCTGTCTCCCCCTTCTCTGTCTACCCCTTCTCTGTCTCCCCCTTCTCTGTCTCCCCTTCTCTGCTCCCCCTTCTCTGTCTCCCCATTCTCTGTCTCCCCTTCTCTGTCTCCCCCTTCTCTGTCTCCCCCTTCCTGTCTTCCCTTCTCTGTCTCCCCCTTCTCTGTCTCCCCTTCTCTGTCTCCCCCTTCTCTGTCTCCCCTTTCTTGTCTTCCCCTTCTCTCTCTCCCCCTTCTGCTCCTCGGTCATCTCCGTCGATCTCTTTCTCTTCTTCTACTCTTCGTCTCTTCGAAGGGGGGAGAGAGGGAAGGGGGGAGAGAGAGAAGGGTGAGAGAGAGAAGGGGGGAGAGAGAGAAGGGGGGAGAGAGAGAAGGTGGGTGAGAGAGAAGGGGTCTCCCCTAGCCCTCTCTCAAATTAAGCTAAGCGCTCTGAAAAATGTATGAAATTTACCGATAGGTGATTTTTATGGCGGTTTGACTGACGGTTTTATAACTCAAAAATAGGTCATTACCCCTTACATGGCCCCTTCCGCCATGAACACTTACGCACGTGAGCAGTGGCGCCGTTCTTGCTACACTTCCACTCGAAACCATCACACAACTTGTTCGCTTGACCAACCTTATAGGTCACTTACACACAGCACACAAATCCTACAGCAATCAAACTACGTTATTGCGCTCATTCAATAACAGCCAAACCCCTCCTCTGGCGCAATGCGCAAAAAAATCCATTTATTCTCACATCGTAGCACACACTCGACACTCAAAAACACAAATAACAAAGAATCTGAAGAACGCAAGAAACTTAACTTTTCGACAGCAACGTAGCCAACCACTTCGACAGCTGCCAACAAAATCACGTAGACAAAAAAAAGATTTACGTGCCACCACACAACATTTCGTAATGAAGTCTCGACAAGATATTAGAATGAAATTTCCCCCACCCCTAACTTTCGACTTCACTTTCGTGACCAGTTACGAATCATTAAAATTATTTCAGAAGTGCATTTTTTTCACAATTTATTTCAATCGCCGATGGGCGCGGCAGCCTTGCCGGCGAAACCGCCCACGCTTCGCTTTTTATAAGTATGTACTAAGTTCCGCATATTGTTCACCACCCCTCCCCACCGAAAGGTTCCCCTCATAATCCCCTAAACACCCCTCGACCCCTCCACCGTGGATTTCCCCTTCCTCTTCGCCGGAGCGGCGCGAAGTGCCGGTTTAAACGACTTCCTTAGGTTGTACCGTATACTACACTTCAGCCTAATTTTCATTAAATGTTGGCCATTTAAATATTTTTTGAACACTTTTTTTCTCAAACACTGCTCTAAATTGTCTTTAAATATTCTCCTTGTATGTAATAAGGGACGGTAAAAAGTATTGTCCCAGTCTCATTAACGGCGAACTCTGCATTTTTTAAAATTGCTCAATTTTAACATATCAAAACTACAAAATTTAAAAAACAAATTTGACTCAAACAAAATCGGTTAAAATAATTATCGCTTTAAAAGAAATCATGCACATTTTTTAAAAATTACAAGTAGGTTTTGTGTAATTTGTGCTTGAAATTAATAGAAATTATAAAAAACATTTTCTCAAAAACATTTTTCTTCAATTTTCCCCCCTCAGATAGAACAAAGAACGCTTAAACGAATGGGGGAGATTTCATTTTCGTGGAACTCTAAATTTTCGAAAATCGTAAATTATAAATAATTCTAGAATGTATATACTGCTGTAGCACCACTTGTTTCACACTAAAGATACATCATTGGGTCACTTTTGAAATACACTTCGCTTGCAGTTTACGTAACGAAACGATCAAGATCGTTTAATGAGGTGCGAGTGCTTTTTGCTCAGCTGCCTCTCTATCGTGTGCTGCTTCCCTGCAGCTTACATAGTATTTAGTAATAATCTCAATTCAAAGAAATAAAAAACTATATTTTCTAAAACTTCTCCGCAAACTTATTAAAAGTGGCAAAGTTTGCCTCTTTCTCGTGAGAGACGAGTTGGTGACCTTATGATATAACCTATACAAATGTAGTAAAAGTGAAACGTGAACAGGAAATGAGAAAACAACAGAAAATGTTTTTTCGAATCACATACCTTTTCAATCGTGCTGGGTCGGCTTGAAGTCTACAAAATGGGAACACGATAGAAAACGATTATTTGTAGTTTACAAGCTTCCAAACTCCCATTCTACCAACATCAAAGAGTACACTCTACACGTAGAATAATGTGGCGTGCACAATATTTTACAAGAGGCAACGTCAAAGCACAAGTATGCAATAGCCTTTCGTTTCCAAAGAATTTATAATACATACAGGACATCACATTACTTTCTCGGATGGCTGAATAAAATTAAACTCTAACACACATTTGAATAAGTTGCCCGAATTATTTTCAAAACAATGTATTTATAAGTAAAAATGTTTACTGACATCACGTTTGTGTTAATGCATTTTTACCTTCTCGCTTTACTTCATCAGAAGAGAAAATATTATAATCGTGCGCTCGGAAATCGGCGATGTTTTGACAGAAAGACTCTTATTGCCGGACCCTCGCAACAAAACTAGGGAGGCGGCATCAGCACATGCTTTCTCGCATTAGTAGTATAGGCTCCGCTACATGAACCTGCAAGAATGTTTTCAACTAACAATATTTTTCCGTGACGAGACTCGAACTCAGGTCCGAGTTAATTCACTGTGCATTTCTCCACTAAAACACGCCGTCTCTCTGATGGCGTGTTAGGCCCTTAAACCGGGCGCTTACAAATCTTATTGTCTCTTCCGCTATTTCAACACACAATTTTCGAAAATTCAGCTAGTTCAACGAAGAAAATTAGAGCTGCGCCATTGTGTTTAGTGTCCATTGTTTTAAAAAATTTAAACAAACACTTTGGAGAGGTTTTGGATTTTTCAATTTTGGAAGTTCAATTTTTATCGGCGTATTCCTACAACTACAGTATTGAAGATAAAGAGTTTGCTCTAAATAAAATCTGTGGATGAAAATTACTCTTTTTTTTTTAAACACACACACATTTAGGACATTTACTTTTCTTTCAATTGTTTTCGAGTAATTTTGCATGAAATAAACAGAATTTTGAAGTCAAGAATTTCTCAGTTAGAATTTTTTTCTTTCAACTTTTGAACCTATAGAGTTACATGCACTAAATAACACAGATTAAATATACTTTTTAGATTTTAAAAAAATACATATATGCCATATGTAATATTTTTATATAAATCTCACTTCGTTAATATTTACATTACGGGCAGACGTGAACAGAAGTTTTTCAAACGAATTGTTATGAAGTTTCTTGAACACCCAAAATTTGTATGTGTAAATGAGCTTAAAAATGCGCATTTTCAAAAACTCTCAAACAACATTTTCTCAAGAACAGCTCCAAATTTCTCATATATTTTTCTATAGGGCTCTGTCACCCTTTCCTTCTGTAATATTCTTATTTTTAAGGATATATTTCAGTCCTACTATGGGACCAAAAATTTGAGAAAATCTGATAAATGTTTTATCAACAATAGGTAGCAGCTGGAAGAGGATGGCGCAGTTCCGAGAAGCTATCATAAACTAAAGAGACTAGAAAAAACTAACTAGTGCGAAAAAGTCTGAGCCATTCTCTAGCACCACAAGTAATAAAATATATTCTTCCAGAATACAATTTTAGATACGATCATGAACAATTGGTTTCATAAACGGGATACGGGAGTTCCTGATACATCAGATTCAACAAGTTCGAGTTGGACATGAACATTCAGAGGAAACCTTAATTACTTCCGGAGTTCTCTAGGGACGTGTCTTAGAACCGCTGTTGTTTCTGACATTCATCAACGATCTGCCATCTTGTATTAAGTCAGTAATGCGCTTATTTGCGGACGACTGCATAATTTATCGGCGAATAGATTCGGATGAAGATATTCTCACACTTCAAAACGATCTTAGTAACATTCATTCCTGGGCTACCGTTAATAAAATGAAGATAAATGCCGTAAAAAGTAAAACACTAAGCTTTTCGAAATCAGCAAAGAAGGTTTCTTTGAATACCAAATGGGAGGCGAATTCATTCTACAAGTATCGTGTTGTAAGTATCTGGGTGTCATATTACGCCAAGACCTGGGATGGAGGGAACACGTTACTTCTATTGCCCGAAAAGCGTGGAAGTCACTACATTTTTTAATAAGAAAACTTAAAAAGGGGAACATGGAGAGTCGAAAAATAGGATACACATCTTTAGTTAGGTTTATATAATACGCATCAGCTGGATGGGACCCATACAGATTAGGTCAGACTGAAGAGTTAAAAAAAATTCAAAAGAAAGCAATCAAATTCATAAATAAGGGATCTTCGAGTAGTTCAAATCCACCAAAACCTATAGAGGCCCTCAGTGTGCGAAGAAAATAAGCCAGTTTGTGCTGCCTCTTCAAGGCGTATATTATGTCACCTGCATGGGCAGAAGTAACGAAAAGACTAGACTCCCCTTCAAGAGTTGGGAGAAACGATCACAAATGCAAAATAAAAAGTAGATGTCAGAGATGCGACTTAGGGAAATATTCATTTGTAAATCGTACGGTTAAAAATGGGAATGAAATCTCTGCAGCAGTAGTAGAGCCATTTCCTGGCTCTGTTGGTGTTTTCAGAAGACGACTTAATAAGTACTTGTAGAGGATGTCAGAGGATGCTCAGAGTCCATAATTCAAGTGATTGTAGCGTATTATAGATAAAATGTAGTGTAGTGCAGTGCAGTGCAGTGCAGTGGAAAGCTACCTTAATTAGATATATGGCATAACCAAAGAAAGATATGGTGAAAGTGTAGTGTAGTGTAGTGTAGTGTAGTGTAG